GGCTCGCCAGAAAAGGTTTCCATCGTGGTCTTCAGCGCCGGGGTCCAATGTGCGGCTCTGGCGCGTTGTCCTTTACCTTGGGCGAGTCGGCGGCGAGGTTGGCGAGGAAGGAGAGGAGCACGTGGAGCAAAATTGAGGCCCCCATGAAGAATGGCAACATGGCGAAGAGGATCCAGATGAGCCGCCTTCAGGTCAGCAACCAAATCTTTCGACACTCCATTGAGCTGGGCAATGGTCAGGTCGTGTTTGTGCACATTGTGATAGTGAACGTAGGAGCCGTCCAGTTGAAGGGCTACTCGTAGCACTCTACCAGGGACTAAAGATCGCCGAGGGACCCCAGCGCGGAATTCAGCGGGAATGATGGTGGCAACGCCGCCCCGTACTGCAGACCCCTCGCAGTAGCTGGCGTGGGCCTTCGCGCGTGGTGCAACCTTGGAGAGGAAGTCGATGAGCTGCTTCTTGCCCTGGTGAACCTCTTGGATGGCGACACTGCCGCAAGTGAAGTTCAGCCTTTTGAGGTAGGCGAGCTTCGGCCGAGCAGCATGCCCATGATACTGAAGAAGAGCGCGGGCATTCCAAGAGGAGAATGAGAACGACGGGGGGCGCGCCAAACGTCCATGAATAGCTGCAGCAAGCCCATTAAAGAGACCACTCTGCAGCCCCAGGCGGAGAGATGATGCCTCTGACAGCCTCCGCCAGCTGATCCTTCGGGAGCGCCAGCTTCTGCGCAATGTTGTCTGCCCGCGCGACCTCCGAGGGAATGTTCCCAGGGTTGGGAGAGAGACGGAGCACCGGGCCCCACCCCGCCATGAGGCAGCCCCTGTCACGGTCGAAGAACCATCTCTTGTCGGGGGCCACGTTCTTGAAGGCCTCCCTGAGCTTGCGGCCCTGGATCTCCAGCCTGATTTGTCGGGGACCCTTGTCCGCGCCATGTGGAGCGTCGCCGTCTGCTCGTCCATGGCCATGACCTCGAATCTTTTCCATTGGCCAGGGGCGAGCCGCTGAGCGCCGAGAACCTGAGAGACACGACGAGCCGCAGGTCCTGCTGCCCCAGAGAATTGGACCGCGAACTGTTTGGCGACTTGCTCGCTGGAAGAGATCGTGAAGAACTCGGCCTTGATCCCGCAGCTGACGACCCAGTCCGACATGATTCGCTGTACCGCAGACAAGTCCACCAATTTGGAAGCCATGCTGCGGATGATCGTTGCGTCGGTATCCCTGTCAAAGCCTGCAGCGCTAGCGGGAGGTGGTTTGGGCTGGACGTTGGCAACCGCGAGGGCAGCGCGGAGTTCTTGAATGTGCTCTCGAAGTGTCTGCAGTTCAGAGTCGCGGCCATCGAACCTGTTTTCAACGGCACGAAGTCGAACTGAGTGGCCGTCCAACTGTTCCTGGAACTTGCGGTAGAAAGCATCCAGCTTCTCGGAGCAAAATTGTTCGGATGCTTGCTTGGCCATAGCTGGAAGCTGTTGTACTCCTTCCGCCAACTTCCCAGCAGCACGAGAGTGCTCAGTAAGCTGAGCGGCAAAATCCTGGATCTGGTCGGGGACCGTCGCAGAGACCACCTTGATGAGGTCCCGGATGAGCTCGTCCCTGTGCTCGGTCATCTTCTTGGATACGTAGTCCCCAGCCAGCTGCTTGATGTAATCGTCTTTAGTCCATTCGTCCTCGCTGTTGACGTCCTCGTCATCATCATCCCCCGCAGCAGGGGCCGCAGTGGAGGAAACCCCGATAGCAGGAGGGACAGGAGTGTCTGAGCCAGCAGCCTGATCATCGCCGTCATCAACGACAGCAGCACCATCAGCTTGACCTCGGCGAGCCTTCTTGATATTCCTCTTGGGGCCGCGGACTGCCTGCTGTCCGCCATTGCGGACACCGCCCATGAATGTCTCTGGGCGTTCGAGAGGGCAGGAACGGGAAATGCCTCCGTTCACCCACTAACTCGAGCGCAGGTGTGGAGAAGCGCGCTGCCAGACCCCAGGGGTCTTGCTCGCCGCGGACTAGCGGTATCCACTTGTTCCCCTGAGGAGCATGACATCTTGAGCCACAATTGCTACGGAGGAGGAGGAGGAGGAAGGGGGTTGAGAAGGAGGAGGAGGAGGAGGAGGAGGACGAGGAGGAGGAAACCGTCGCGGTCGCCACAATCGCACGCAGTCGCCGACGGCGGCGACGGACGAGGGAGGCCCTCCTCCACCTCGCCTCTCCCCATCCACCCTCCTTCCATCGCCGTCTCTTCCGACGCCTTCCTCTTGATCATCCTTCTTGTGCCTCGTCCTCGTCCTCGTCCTCCTCTTCCTCCTCCTCCTCCTCCTCCTCGTCCTCCTCCTCACCATCATCAACACAACCCCCCTGTGTTTCCCCCTTTGTGTCCTCATCCTCTGTGTTCAAATTTCATGATCCTTTTCCTACTCCTCCCCCTCCTCTTTCTCCTACTGTCCCTCCTCTCCTTCTTCTCTTCTTCTGCATCCTCCTCCTGCATTGGGGTCGCTTGCGTTTGCGATCATTTTTCGCCCGGGCGGATGGGTACCGTGAAACATTGGCGAGTCACAGGCGCCTGTGCCTCCTGCGACTCTGGCGATTTGTAAAGCAAAATGTTGCTCGACCGTCCGATTCGCGAGGCTTACACCAATCTGCAACGCGGGCGCGTTTACACGGTTACTAGTTTTCTACGGCAGTACAAGTGATTCGTCTACCATCAACCCTGGATGTGCCATTGGTTGACAAAGGGCCAGGATCCAAAGGTCCCCCCCGCCTCCGAGCAAAGCACCCCCTCTCCCCCCAGAAGACGCCTCGTGGCCTCGCGCGCACCGCGCCGTTTTTTTCGCCCAGGGCGCCGTGCGAAAAAACCGTGCGCAATCCCCAAAGGGGAACCAACTTGCCCGCTCCGCCCATCCAAGGAGAAGGCGGGCGGGTGCTGGCAAGCCTGAAAGCTGGCGGCCAAAAACAAAAGCTCCGCATGCCCCGTCGCCCCTCCCCTCTCAACCCCCACCCCCTACCCCCTACCCCGACCCTCTTCAAAGGGACGTCCTTCTGGTATTCATCCTGGGACCTGAGACTGCAGACTGTGTCACCACGGGCATTCCTCCTCCTCCTCCTCCTTGTCCTCGCTCTCGTCATTCTCCTTCCGACGGAGATGGAGGACAGCATGTCCCCCTCTGTTTGCTGCGCTTATGACGAGGTCTCGCCAGGGCGGGTCGGCATCACGGCACACCGGCCTGCCATATGAGCGCCTCGTGCGACTCCACCGCGCTGTAACATCCAAGCACTTTTCGGTCGGCGAGATCGCGAGATAGCGAACGGACACCGTTTGCGCGGTTTCCCCGTTTTCAGCGAAAACGCATGCCACAAATGAATGACAAAATCTAGATTCGGCGGACTTTTTTTCCCGGAAGGCCGAGATCCAGGCCCCCCCCGCCCCCGGCCACCGTGAGCCCCTGCCCCCAATGACATGTTTCGTGCACCCCTGAGGCCCTCCTGGGTGGCAGCACTCAGGAGGCAACTTCTGGGAGGTCTCCAGAGGAACGATCAAGACGAAGCCAGGACGAGAATACATTCGGGTGGGGATCAAATCCAGGACCTCTGAGATCCGGCGACTCTGGAAGATGTCTTTGGGCGCCGCGGCCTCCTCAGAGCGCTCCGAAACGCTCTGAAGGCGTTCCGAAACGCTCTGGAACGGATGTATCCGCGCCCCAGCCCCGTTCGAGAATGGGCCATGGAGCCAACGTGAGCAGGATGAGGCCCAGGATTCAACCCGATTGGGGCAGGTTGCGCGGGACTTCGCAGGAGTACGCCGGATGCGGCCAGTGGTCGACCACGGATATACCAGCACCAGTGCCGAATGAAACCTCACGGCAGCAGTAGGCACAGGGCCTGGTAGTAGGCTGGCCATGCACAGTGGAAGAGGAGGAGGAAGAGGAGGTGGAGGAGGAGGATCAGGGAAATATGAAGGATCAGATCAGGAAGAGGAGGAGGAGGAGGTAGACGATGAATTAGAGCAGGATGAGCAGCTAGAGTTAGAAAGTGGGCTGTCGACCACGGGGTATACCACGCCGGCTGGAAGGCAGCAACAGGCAGAGGGCCCCCCACGGCAGGCTCACGTCTTGGCGGCGTCGGCGTGCGTCTCAGACAACGCGTGGGCCGCTTCAGCCCAGAAGGATCCGTGGGCTTGTTTTCCACCGCCACCACCATAAGTACGAGGGGTAGGGGGTCCTCCTCGTCCTCCTCCTCCTCCTCCTTCTCCCTCTCCTCCTCCTCCTCCTCCTCCTCCTCCTCCTCCTCCTCCTCCTCTTCCTCCTCCTCCTCCATTTCGTCCTCCTCCTCCTCATCCTCCAACTCTTCCTCTCCGTCCTCCTCCTCCTCATCTTCCACCTCCTTCCCCCTCCGACTAATGGTGGTTGTGGTGGGCCGTTCGACACCAGCCAGTTCCAGGCCCATCAAGGGTCGGGCCCTGCTGGTGTCGCGGGCCGTTCGACACCAGCCAGTTCCAGGCCATCAGCGGCGTCCAACCTTGAGCGCCACCGCCGGGGTCGCCGCCGCGCCAACGCGGCGCGAATCTGTCGTGTTCCTCACGGCCGTACCTTGCCCAACAAATTCTTTGGTCCCCAAAAAACTCGTTGGCCCCCCACAATTATTCGCTGGTCCCCAAAAAATTCGCTGGTCCCCCCAAAAAATCTTTGGTCCGTCCCGGGCCCTGGCATGGTGTCAAAGAAAATTCAGGTATCATCCTGGGGCCCAGGACGGCCCTGGCAAGGCACGGGCGGGGTGGCCAGATGCTGTCTGCGGCGAGGGCAGACTCGCAATGAATTACAGCCATGGCCAATGAGAAGGGTGCAAGGTAAGGATGAAAGAAAGGCCCTTGGCCAATCGGCGTCGAAGTTGCAATAGGTGGCCAACGAAGCCCGCTTCGCCCAAACGAAAACTCATCATAAGACATAGGTAGACCACGACTGAAATTCACGAGAAGCGTGCTCAACGCGAGCACAAATTTGTGTAACAGCTGGCTCCTGCACAGCTGTCACCAGCTGGCGGCTCGGAGGCGGCCTTAGAATGGCGCGACATCGCCCAGGATCTGGCAGGCCGCGTCGCCGAGAGCGCGGATGAGAGTGTCACCGCCGTGGCCCTGCGCGTGCGTGATCGAGGCGTGCCGATTTGTTTGCCCAGGCGGGGTAGAAGCAAAGGCAGGTTTTATCTTGTTATGGGATGGCTGGGCTTGCGCGCGTATTCGAGGAAGGAAGGAGAGGCGATGGTGATATCGGAGGAAAAATATATGACAGCTCTTCTGGTCGCGACCGCCTCGCCCTACCAGCCCGGAGCATGTGAACAAGAGTGGCATCGGTAAGTCGCGAAGCGTGCTGCCACATCCATATTCCGCCTTCGCGCTGTGACACCGTCCAGGAGGACGAACGAAGGAGCGGTAAGAGAGGAAGGAGGAGGAACAGAGGGAGGAGGAAGGAGGAGGGAGGAAGAGGATGGAGAGAGGAAGAAAAGAGAAGGATGAGGAGAACTCAGGGATGAAAGACGGGAGGAGAAGACATCCCCACAATCTGGCCATGAGCGGAGGATTGCAACCACCCCTTGCGGCTCCTGCTGGGGGTGCTGGAACCACCGCCTCGCTCAAGACATCCTCAACACCTGTCTTGAAAACAGAGAAGTCCAAGCAACCAAACAGCTGAGACATCCCCACAATCTGGCCGCGAACGGGGAGTGCAACCACCCCTGGCCCCTGGCGGCCCCCCCTTCAAGTGCTGCAGCCAGCGCCTCGCGCGAGACATCCTATCACTCTGCTATGACAGCGCAAAAATCAGGGGCGTCAAACCAAGGACCTGACAAATCCCTGCAAGTTACGCGCGAACGGACTTGGGCGTCTCCCGATTGGGGTGCTAAAGCCAGCGCCTCGCTCCAGACACCCTCACATTCTGCTTTGAATTCACATGGGTCTGGGGCGCCGAAACACGCAAACCGCTTGAGACATCTCAACAGACTGGCCGCGAAATCCTGAGCAATACCCTTGGCGGCCTCCCCTTGGGGTGCTGAAGCCAGCGCCTCGCTCGAGGCGTCATCCTAATCTACTCTGGCAGAAAATGAATCGGGGGCGCCGACACATGAATCGGGGGCTCCGAAAAACGCAAACCGCCTGAAACAGATCAGCATTCTCACCACGAGCGGTTCCACGCAATACCCCATGGCGGCCTCACCTTGGGGTGGTGAAGCCAGCGCCTTCCTCATCATCGTCTACTCTGAAAACAGAAGAGCCGCAACAGCATGGTCCGGCGCACTGCCCCGTGGCTGCCCCACTTGGGGTGGGGAAGCCAGCCCTCGCTCGAGATACTCCCATACGCTACAGGGCAGTTTCTTGAATACATCAGAGTGAGGGGGCCGAACGGTCATTCACTGTCCCTGGGTGCGTGGCTGAAGTGGGATTCCGCGATGCGGATTCGTGTTGATGTTGTTTGTTGTTTATTGTTGTTGTTTGTTGTCGTCGTCCCACCCGCAACCCGCCCCGCGACCCACCGGCGACCCACCCCGCGACCCACCCGCGACCCACCCGCGACCCACCCGCGACCCACCCGCGACCCACCCCGCGACCCACCCCGCGACCCACCCCGCGACCCACCCGCGACCCACCCGCGACCCACCCGCGACCCACCCCACGACCCACCCCGCGACCCACCCCGCGACCCACCCGCGACCCACCCGCGACCCACCCCACCCACCACGACCACCCACCCCACCCACCCGCGACCCACCCCGCGACCCACCCACCCGCGACCCACCCCGCGACCCACCCGCGACCCACCCCGCGACCCACCCGCGACCCACCCGCGACCCACCCGCGACCCACCCCGCCCACCCCGCGACCCACCCGCGACCCACTTTCGACCCAAACCACGTAAGGTACAAACCAACATTTTCGGCGCCTGCGGCGGGCTTTTTTTGCATTCCTTCCAGGTGGAGAGCCCGCGACCCACCCCGCGACCAACTCGCGACCAACCCGCGACCCAAACCACGTTCAGGGTACAAACCACATTTTTCGGCGCCTGCGGCGGGCATATTTTGCATTCGTTCTAGGTGGAGAGACCGCGGCCCACCCGCGACCACGTTCAGGGTACAAACAAATTTTTCGGCGCCTGCGGCGGGCATCTTTTGCATTCGTTCCCGGTGGAGAACCCGCGGCCCACCCGCGACCCAAACCACGTTCAGTGTACAAACCAAATTTTTCGGCGCCTGCGGCGGGCTGCTTTTGCAGGAGGACGAGGAGGGAGGAGGAGGAGGAGGAGGAGGAGGAGGAGGAGGAGGAGGAGGAGGAGGAGGGAACGACGACGACGACGTCGACGACGACGACGACGAAAAAGAGGAGGGGGGAGGATCGGGAGGGGGGAAGAGGAGGAGGACGACGAGGAGGAACATGACGACAATGGGAGGACGATGATGGAAGGACGAGGGGGGGAGAGGGAGGACGAGGAAGAAGAGGAGGAGGAGGACGAGGAAGGAGGAGGTGGAGGAGGAGGACGACGATGACGATGAGGACGAGGACGAGGACGAGGAAGAGGAGGAGGAGGAGGAGGCGGAGGAGGAGGAGGAGGAGGAGGAGGAGGAGGAGGAGAGCGCCATCGACAGGGAAGGTGGGGGCCACGAGGTCCGCCGGCTTGACGACGCCCGCGTCGCCCGCGCCCGCCCCCTCACTCTTATCCGCAATTGCGGGGTGCTACGTAGGATTTTAAACATATACGATTTTGAATACATGATGAAGTGATGGATAAATGTATGCATGAGCTCATCGTTGTTTCTACTCATATATCCCTGTATTCTTGATACTTGTTCCGCACGCGGAGCATGCATAAAAAAACGGCACTGCACTGCAAAGACGAAGGAATCGTGGGCACCGCAGCGCGCCGACCGCCTGAGACGTCCCCACAAGTCCGGCCGCGAGCGGCCTCGAGCAGAGTGCTCCCGGGCGGCCCGCCCCCCCCGGGGGCGTCGAGAAAAGCCGTCGCCTCGCGCGGGGCCTCCGCCCGAGGAGGGCCCCGCGGCGCCTCGGAGGGCGCCGCGCGGGCCTGGAGCCAAGATGGCCACGGGCGGAGGGGGGGGGGGGGGGGGGGGCAGAGAGGATCGGGACGAGGAGCGGGATGAGGAGAAGCTGGTGGAGAGGGAGCAGGACGAGGATGATGAGGACGAGGAGGAGGACGAGGAGGAGGAGAAGGAGGAGGAGAACACGCAGAAACCCAAGACGCGCCAGCGGGGGGTGATGAGGGACAAAAAGGACCCCTAATCCTTTGGGAGGGGACCTAAGCTAGGAGGGCCAAAAACAGTAGGGCTATGGGGTCTGTTCTGCGGATGTACCAAGCCAGACCACCCAAATATATTGTCCCTAATGCAAAGACGGAAACCTAATTGAGGCCAGGTCTTCACTAGGCTCGTCTGGTTCGAGGTTCATTTATCCTCGATGATGGTTGGTTGGATGCGCCTGTGTAAGGCAACGTGCCGGGCCCCCTAGCAGGACCTCCTTCGGCAGAGCCGAGCCGGGCGGGGCCTCCTTCCGACACGGCTGCAGACAGCGACGACCAACGGGGAGGCCAGTGGCGGAATCCCGGCTGTGTCACTCGGACCCTCCCCGCCTCGCACGCATTCAAAAATCGCACGAAGGGGAAAGAGGACTGCAGATGCATAGTCGTGCGGAGGCGACGGACGGCAGCACCGTGCGGCCCTCGATCGGCTCCTTCCTCGATCGACCGGCCACTTCGGGGTGATCCTTCGACCGATCGGCACCTCCCTCGACCGATCGGCTCGTCCGTCGGCGTCGAGGGCCTCGACGGCCCAGCGGGCCTGGCGACGGGCAACACACGCAAATACAAATGCGGCAGGAGGGCGGAACCGAGCGGCATGGGGGCGAGCGTGCGAGGGCAGTCTCCATGAGTACCCATCACCTTGGGAACCCAGTTTTAAGTCGGGCCTGTCCCCCTACAGGGGGATTTTAGACGAAAAATGGAAATAGTCAAACAAGTGCACTGAAATACTCAAACATTGAAGAGAACAAAAAAAACGTCCCCAGTAGGGGGACAGGCCCGATTTAAACCTAGTTCAGGGCCCTCGGAAGCAATGCACATGGATGTCGAGCAATATGGATACGATAAAGGTGGGGGCCACGCCTGAAAAGAGCAAGCTGCCCCAAACAGACACAACGACCGCCGCTGAGCGGGCACTCCTCGCCACAAACGGGCAACCCGGTTGGCGAGACGCAGACCCCGACGTCGTGATTTGTCCATTACGCTTACCGCCGAAAATCTGCACTCCATCTGAAAGACCAGTGTTTCATGAAGGATTGTTCCCCATATCCTAAGGAATGGGGTTCTTGTTATTACTCTGACGCCTCCCACTCCTCCTCCTCCTCCTTCTTCCTCCCGCTCGCGCCTCCCTCCTCCCAATGATAATCACCAGATAAGACAAGACAAGATAAGATACTACAAGATAAGATAAGATAGCACAAGATATGATAAGAAGAGATTTCAAGATCAGATAAGATAAGTTAAGCTCACACTCTCTCATGATCACAAAACGCTGCCAGGGGCATCATTTGGGAGCCCCAAGGGGGAGCCACCCTGGCTGATCTCACGAGCCCGTTCGCGCCGATTTTGGTGGGACGTCTCAGCTAGAATTGCCGTTTGGCGCCCCCAACATGTATCTCTTGAGAGCCTCATGGTCACAAAACGCTGCCAGGGGCATCATTTGGGAGCCCCAAGGGGGAGCCACCCTGGCTGATCTCACGAGCCCGTTCGCGCCGATTTTGGTGGGACGTCTCAGCTAGAATTGCCGTTTGGCGCCCCCAACATGTATCTCTTGAGAGCCTCATGGTCACAAAACGCTGCCAGGGGCATCATTTGGGAGCCCCAAGGGGGAGCCACCCTGGCTGATCTCACGAGCCCGTTCGCGCCGATTTTGGTGGGACGTCTCAGCTAGAATTGCCGTTTGGCGCCCCCAACATGTATCTCTTGAGAGCCTCATGGTCACAAAACGCTGCCAGGGGCATCATTTGGGAGCCCCAAGGGGGAGCCACCCTGGCTGATCTCACGAGCCCGTTCGCGCCGATTTTGGTGGGACGTCTCAGCTAGAATTGCCGTTTGGCGCCCCCAACATGTATCTCTTGAGAGCCTCATGGTCGCAAAACGCTGCCAGGGGCATCATTTGGGAGCCCCAAGGGGGAGCCACCCTGGCTGATCTCACGAGCCCGTTCGCGCCGATTTTGGTGGGACGCCTCAGCTAGAATTGCCGTTTGGCCTCCCCAACATGTATCTCTTGAGAGCCTCATGGTCACAAAACGCTGCCAGGGGCATCATTTGGGAGCCCCAAGGGGGAGCCACCCTGGCTGATCTCACGAGCCCGTGACGAGAGACAGAGAGAGAGAGAGAGAGAGAGCAAGAGAGAGAGAGAGAGAGGAGCGAGAGAGAGGGAGAGGAGAGAGAGAGAGAGAGAGAGAGAGCGGAGAGAGAGAGAGGGGGAGTTGAGAGAGGAGACAGGCGAGAGAAAGAGAGAAGAGAGAAGAGAGAGAGAGAGAGAGAGAGAGAAGAGAGAAGAGAGAAGAGAGAGAGAGAGAGAGAGAGAGAGAGAGAGAGAGGAGAGAGAGAGAGAGAGAGAGAGTGGAGAGAGAGGGGGGGGGGGAGAGAGAGAGAGAGAGAGAGAGAGAGAGAGAGAGAGAGAGAGAGAGAGAGCGAGAAGAGAGAGAGAGAGAGAGAGAGGAGAGAGAGAGAGAGAGAGAGAGAGAGCGGGAGAGAGCGAGAGAGAGAGAGAGAGAGAGAGAGAGAGAGAGCAGAGAGAGAGAGAGAGAGCGGGAGAGAGCGAGGGAGAGCGAGAGAGAGCGAGAGAGAGCGAGTGAGAGCGAGAGAGAGAGAGAGAGAGAGAGCGAGAGAGAGCGACAGAGAGCGAGAGAGAGCAAGAGAGAGCGAGAGAGCGAAAGAGAGAGAGAGAGAGAAGAGAGAGAGAGAGAGAGATAGAGAGAAAGAGAGAGAGAGAGATAGAGAGAGAGAGAGAGAGAGAGAGAGAAGAGAAGAGAAGAGAAGAGAGAGAGCGAGAGAGAGAGAGAGGGAGAGTGAGAGAGAGAGGAGAGAGCAGAGAGAGAATAGAGAGAAGAGAGAGAGGAGAGAGAGAGAGAGAGGCAGAGATAGAGGCAGAGAGAGAGAGGCACAGAGAGAGAGGCAGAGAGAGAGAGAGAGGCAGAGAGACAGAGGCAGAGAGAGAGGCAGAGAGAGAGAGAGAGGCAGGGAAAGAGAGGCAGAGACAGAGAGAGGGCAGAGAGAGAGAGAGAGACAGAGAGAGCAGAGAGAGCAGAGAGAGAGGCAGCTCAGTCACACTTAAATCCAGATTCGTCCTCACCGAGTCCCACCACCAAGGGAGCGCCAGCAAGGAGATGCACAGATGGGGATCCCCACGCAGTGAATAATTTTTTGACCCCTGGAGGCCGAGAACAGCGATAAACCTCCTGTTATGCTTCCTCATCAGGCAAATTGGGGTTGTTAGGTTTCGAAGCATGCCCCACGGCCGCCAAGTCCCAGGTCCACCCAGTGTCCCGCATATCCCGCCCCCCGCCTAGAACAGAACTTAACACTACATATGCATGGGCGAATTCGGAAACCCTGAACACAAAAACGTGTTCATTTCTTGGGAGCGCATCTTTTACTTCCGCCGCCCTCCCGCAATCCGTCCGCCAGCTGCGGCTGGTCGAGGCGGCCTCTTTTACTACCGCCGACCTTCCGCCGCGAAAGAGATGATAATTCCTTCGATGCTCGAAGGCAAGGCCCTGTCTGGAACGCTTCACATGAATATGGAGATAACCGTTGCCATATCGTATAACCCAACAAGAAACGATAGCATGACAAATCATGTCGTACTAAAGTATCGTAGAACACCTTGCAACAAGCCGAACCACATAGCAAATAGCAAACTATACACATACCCTTGACGATGATGTATTCTGTATTCTAAAAGAGCAACACATTCATTACAACTGTACCTTATACTGAACTCGAACATACTTAATCGAATCTGCTCTCGCATGTGAAAAGGTAAGCAGCAGCGACCGATTCGCGGCGTCGTATCCAACGCAGTATGCGTGCCGACGTTGAGCTGGCCGCAATAATAAAAAGGCGCAACAACTATACGGGTTCGCTGACGTATCAAACGTGGCATGTGCCACGACGGCACGCCCTCCCGTCAAGGGCATAGCATAACAACCATAGCATAACATAACAATGTTTGAATATAACAGAATCTAACATACTGGATGTAACGTAATGCACCGGAATACAACAGCGATTGATTACCTGCGTCCTGTAACACACGACATGCGGGCCGAAATGAGGTTGGCCACAGGGAAAACACAGGCGCCGCAACGACCGATCAGGCCACGTATCAAACGCGACAAGCGTCGCGACGTTACGACGGCCCGTCGAGAACTCAACGTAACAGAACAAGAGCATGGCACGACAGAGTGGGGCAGGCTCGAACCGAACAGAACATCGTTCAAACATTACAACGGCGACGGACTGACGGCATTATCTCATGCAAGGGTTTCTGATCAAGCGCGAGGTGCGCGCCGTCGTCAAGCTGGACACAAGACCACACAGGCGCAGCAACAACTGACTAGACGACGAACCAAATACGACCGGCGTCGCGAAGTCACGCGGAGGGGAGAACATATGGCCCTGACAACATCCATACATTAAACCTTCTTTCCCCAGGATCTTTGAAGGGGCCCTGGGACACACAAATACATACACACAAGTAACAGGACTCCCCATATGTGCCCATATCGTCTTGTTTTTCGTCTTCCCCCCCACTCCCCACATGTTCTCATATTTTCCTGGGAGTCGACGATTCATTGTGTCTGTGTGCTTCCTCCCCTCCTGAATCTTTCCTGTCACGTCAACCTGGGCCGCTACTCCAGATTTCGTAATAGAGGGAGGGGGGTCTCATTTCGGGGGGGGGGTCTCTTCCAGGCTGTCTTGGAGGGCCTGGGGGGGTTTGGGGACGATGTTTTGGAGGGTTCTCCCACGGGGGGGGGGTCTGAAATGGTCGGTCTTGGAGGGTCCAGACCCCCTCCCTTTTATTACGACATCTGGAGTAGACCTCCTCCTCCTCCTCCTCCTCGCTCCTCCTCCTCCTCCTCCTCCTCCTCCTCCTCCTCGCTCCTCCTCCTCGCTCCTCCTCCTCCTCCTCCTCCTCCTCCTCCTCCTCCTCCTCCTCCTCCTCCTCCCCCTTCCTTTTTGTGCAAGGGCTATGGCACACGTGCCACTTGTTACGACAGCTGGAGTAGATTGCAGGACACATCGACCTGGCCCGACCGCGAAGCTGGCCGAGGCCACTGGGCCCCGCGCGCCTCGCTCCAGCAGGCCCGCGCACCGCCGAAGAACCGGTGCCGAAGGCTTCGGGGGGGATCGCTCGAAGCAGCATAAGGTCAATGGGGCCCAAGGACACACAACTAAATACACCCTGCGAAATGCTTTAGAAATCATGGGTTAAGAAATTCATAGTCTCAGAACTTGAATAAAAACCCCCAAAATCCATTCAAATCTTAGGATTTACATTGAAACATTAAGAATAATCGAGAGTCTGGCCGAAAAAATAGGTTTTCTTAAGCATCGCCTAAGGTGTACACACAAATAAAAGGGTTCCCCCATGTTTTGCCATATGTTCTGGGTTTCTGTCTTCCCGCCCACTGCCCATATGTTCCTATGTTTCCTTGGGGATCGACGATTAATTTTGTGTCTGTGTGTTTTTTCCCCTCCTGATAAGAGTGAGGGGGGCCGCACGGTCATTCATTGCCCCTGGGTGCGTGGCAGAAGTGGCGCCCGCCGACATTGATTGACTCGAGGAAAACATCGGCGCCCGCGGCGGGCTTCTGCAGAGCCTCGCAGACTGCCGACGACCCCGCCGCACCCTCACTCGATTACCCGCAACTGACGGGAGGCTGCGTCTCTTGGGGGAAGCCAAAAGGTACCGATGCCGCTGCTCCCCGAGCCTCTCCTGGGGTGCGCTCTGACCAGGATCTCGAGGCGAATCCGGCGGTGGCCACGAGGGCCGCGCAGGAGGCCCCTAAAAAGGGGCAAACGAGGCGAGGGTAGAGGCATCACACCTCTGCCCTCGCCTCGTTTGCCTACCCTCGAGGGTAGAGGTATCATACCTCGACCCTCGAGGGTAGGAGGAGGAGGAGGAGGAGGAGGAGGAGGAGGAGGAGGAGGAGGACCCCTACTATAGGTACCCTCTCCTCCTCTGAACCTTCGCTGCTCCCCGACGGGAGGGGGCCCGGCGGCGGGCAGCGAGGCCTGCCCCAGACGGGCCAGCACAGCTCCCCGCGGGGTGGCGCCCGCCGCGCCGAGGCCCGGGCAGCTCCCCGGGCAGCAGGGCCCGCAGCGCCCCGTGGAGGGCGCGCGCGCGCCCCACCTGCTGTGGCAGCCCTTCACGAGGGCCTCTCCTCTCCTCTCCTCTCCTCTCCTCTCCTCTCCTCTCCTCTCCTCTCCTCTCCTCTCCTCTCCTCTCCTCTCCTCTCCTCTCCTTCCTCCTCTCCTCAGGCCGGATGGAGCCCGCGGTTGAGCCAGAGCAGATGGGACTGAACTAAAAGAACAAGAAGTGGCATGCACATAAAAACTCCGAGGTCCGCGCGGATGTCTCGGATCGGCGCTGGGGCCCCCTCTCCCCTGGCGCGCGGAGCACGCCAGGGGCGGCGCCGGAGGCGCCGCTTTGGGGGCCCCAGCGCCGATCCGAGAAATCCGCGCGGACCTCCGAGTTTTTATGTTTATGCCACTTCTTGTTCCCCTAATCTCGCTGGCTTTTGCGAGCCGTTGCCGATCGACGCCACACGGCGCGAAATCGGCGCCGATCCGGCGCTGCCTCACCGACTGCCGGGCGCCAACCGACGCGGATGCACTCCAGAGCTGTGGATGCCATGACAGTGGACACCCCGCAATCCTATCATTGAATTACACATGGGTTGAAAATTTGTGAAAACATGTTTGAAACATGTTTCAAACATGTTTTTTACATGTTTAAAACATGCTTGAAACATGTTTCAGACATCTGGAAATTATTTGGCAGCATGCTTCCTCTCCATTAATCGACTTCCACAACTCTAGAGCCGGGTGTTGCAAGGACACAACAGGCTCCCGTGATTTCCTACCGAACGCAACCTGCTCCTCCAGCGCGTCGCAGCACAGGCCGAGGGTCTGCCGCGCCCTGCCGGAAGGGCCAGTGGGGTCGTCGTCGTTGTTTTGTCGTCGTCGCGCCGCCGCCGCCGTCATTGTGGTGGTGGCCTACGGCGCTGTTGCTTCTTCGTCGGCATCACTGTCGCAGCCGTCGCCTTCGAGTCTGGTGTCTTTGACTGCTCCTAGAGGAGGCAGCTGGTGTGCGGATGAGTTCCCCTCGAAATCCTTCCAGATGGCGCCCCGGGATAGAGGCATGTGGACGGATTGTCTGTGGACTGCCTCCCAGGCCGCCGCGCATCGCGGAGGACCCGCGACGGACAGCCTTCCGAGGGGGAGGAGGAGGAGGAGGTAAAGGAGGAGGAGGAGGAGGAGGAGGAGGAGGAGGAGGAGGAGGAGGAGAGGAGGAGGAGGGAGGAGGAAGAGGAGGAGGAAGGAGGAGGAGGAGGGAGGAGGAGGAGGAGGATGAGGAGGAGGAGGAGGGGACGGGAGAGGAGGAGGAGGAGGAGGGGGAGGAGGAGGAGGAGGAGGAGGACGAGGAGGAGGAGGAGGAGAGGAGGAGGAGGAGGAACGGAGGAAAAGGAGGAGGAGGAGGAGGATGGAGGAGGAGAGAGAGGAGGGGGAACAGGAGGAGGAGGAGGAGGAGAAGGGAGAGGTGGTGGAGGAAGAAGAGGAGGAGGAGGAGGAGAAGGAGGAGGAAGAGGAGAAGGAGGAGAGAAGGGGAGGAATAGGAGGAAGGAGGAGGGGAGAGGAGGAAGAGGAGGAGGAGAGAGGAGGAAGGGAGAAGAGGAGAAGGAGAGAGGAGGAAGAGGAGGAGGGAGGAGGAGGAGGAGGAGGAGGAGGAAAGGAGGAAAGGAAGGAGGAGGAGGAGGAGGAGGAGGAGGAGAGGAGGAGGAGGAGGAGAGGAGAAGGAGGGAAGAGGAGGAGGAGGATGAGGAGGTGAGGAGGAGAGAGGAGGATGAGGGAGGAAGGAGGAAAAAAGAAGGAGGAGGAGGAGGACGAAGAAAAGGAGGAGGAGGAGGAAGAAAAGGAGGAGGAGGAGGAGGAGGAGGAGGAAGGAGGGGAGGAGGAGGAGGAGGAGGAGGAGGAGGAGGAGGGGAGGGAGGGTGGCAGGAAGAGGAGGAGGAGGAGAAGGAGGAGGAGGAAGGAGGAGGAGGAGGAGGAGAGGTAGGAGAGGGAGGAGGAGGAGGAGGAGGAGGAGGAGGAGGAGGAGGAGGAGGAGGAGGAGGAGAGGAGAGGAGGAGGAGATGAGGATGAGGAGGAGGAAAGGAGGAGGAGGAGGAGGAGGAGGAGGAGGAGGAGGAGGAGCAGGAAGAGGAGGAGGAGGAGGAGGAGGAGGAGGAGGAGGATGAGGAGGAGGGAGGAGCAGCGCTTCCAGAGCCTTGGGAACATGCCACTTGGCGCAGCCCAGGAGAACCCAGGAATTCCGCTTGTGTCGGCGCTTTGGTCCCTTGGGTCATCCCTTCCTCTCCCTCTCCTCCTCAAGTGCTCCGGGGCAGCGGTAGGCGGGACAGGCATCGGGCCGCATGGGGGGACAGGCATATTCCCCCAATCCGCCACTGGTGGCCGATAGGGGCCCGATAGCCCCAACCTGCCCAGGAGCGTGCGGACTTGCTATCGGGGGCCTATCGCCGATTTGTCGGCGATGTATCGCCGATTCCAGGTCGATGTGTCTGCTCCCCCCCATGCCAGTTGCCCCTCACGTGAGAGGGGCAGGGATGCGCAGAAGTCGGCCAGGCTTCTCAGACGCCCTCGCGCCTTCTGAGAGGTGTCCTGGATTTTTTCGAAAACAGAAAGGCGGTTTCTCAGAAGACTGGGTAGGGCTAGTAAGAAGCCGGGCCGCCTTCTGATCGGCTAAACATGCAGTGGGGGGGCATGCCCCAAAAACGCCTTGCTTGCCTCCAGGGTACCCTGGATTTCTTGGGTTTCGATGGTTTTGCTGTGGAAAACGTGACGTTCCCACACCAGAAATCCATGGACGTCCTGGAGTCTCAGGGTTGGGTTGGGTTTCTTGCGGAAGGTTTCTCGTGGACAGGCCTCCACTGTAAGAGCGACCCTTCGCCGGAGTGACATTTGGTGCGGGCCCATTGGGGCCCCCCGATCGCCGAACGCGATGCGATATTAGCGCCTTGCGCGTTCGTGTCAGGTCCCCCCGCGGCCCAAAACAAAACGCGCACCGAAGGTCGCTTTTCCTACGTGATGGCGGGGGTGATGGTGAAGGCGATGGTGATCAGGAGACGGAGGGGGAGGAAAAGGAGGGGGAGGAGGAGGATGAGGAGCCCAGCGTACAGAGAGATCCGTTCAAGACCACTCTAGGCCCGCCCCTTCGAGGAAGATGGGGGCGCAGGCAAGAGAGGTAGGAGGAGGAGGAGGAGGAGGAGGAGGAGGAGGAGGAAGGAGGAGGAGGAATGGAAAGGAGGAGGAGGAAAAGGAGGATCCTCAAGTGCCCCAGAGCTTCCTGTGGATTCCTGAGGCCGCCGGGGGGCGAGGCACGTCCGCGGGGGCACCTGCTGGCGGGCCGACCTCTTATTCGACTGTCCCCCTCCTCCTCCTCCTCCTCCTCCTCCTCCTCCTCCTCCTCCTCCTCCTCCTGCTCCCTCTGCTCCTCCTGCTCCCTCTGCTCCTCTCTGGGCTCAGGACTTAGGAGACCGACTTCTGACCACACCCACTTCCTGAGGTGCCTTGCGAAAAGCGGTTTCCAGAGCTGGAGGTGGGCAGTTTCCCCGCCCCAGGGGAAGGAAACACTACCCACTTCCACCCCCGAGGGCCTATCATAGAATCGAGGATCCAGAGGTGGATGTGGTCAGAAATCGGTCTTCGAAGTACTGACCTCGACTGTCCCCTGACCCTGGCACGTGCCCTACGTCGTCGCCAACTGTAATAGTTTGGCCGTGTCTCACGGTACCACCGACAGGACCAATAGGCCTTGCTGTTGTGCCATTGCGTGGGGCCCGCGCGCCCATCTCGACTGGATCTCGGCACGGGCCGGCATCTCGCAGGCTTCACCTGCGAACTCGCGACAACCCGTGTCAGCCCGCACTGCAGCCAGAATCCATTCACATTCGTGGATGGGGCCCCCAACTGGGGACACGGTGGGAGACAGGGGCAGATTTAGGTCGGGCATGCCCCCCTACAGGCGGATTTTGACAGAAAAATCAGAAATATCAAAAATATTCAAACGTAGTCAAAAAATAACAGAATAATCGCCCCCTGACTATTTTCAAATATGCTTGAAGATTTCTCCTGTAGAGGGACATGCCGGACTTAAAAAGGATGATCGTGCAATGAAGCCAAGGGGAGGCCTCTCGATCTGCAGGTCGATGGCATTGTGGATGGCGTCATTCACCATTCGCATGATCGCGGCATCCGTCTTCGAGCCGGTGTTTATCTCCCGAAAGGCTGCCAAGGGCTGGCAGCACGAATTGGCTGGGGCCCAACCTCCGCAGTCTGGCGACACGGGGCACTTCACGGTACAATCCAGCCAGCAGCCGACGATCTCATCCGATGAGGCAGATTCTCGACAACCCTGGAGTGGTAGCCAGCTGGCTCATCGACTTGGTACGGGCGCCACCCCAAATAAACCTCTAAACCTGTTGCACAATGCAGCAATTGAACTTCCGAACCGCCGCTAGTCGAATCCAGCAGACAAGAAGCTACGACCCAAGGAACTGAAACTGGGGGTCCCGCTCGCCATCAAAACAAATTGCCACTCGTGTGGAAAACTGTGCGCCGGTCCGCACCCTCGCACGGAGCACGCCTGAAATGAAGCCACACAGACCGCGCATTGATTGCTGACTGGGGATGTCTACGACTAGACTAGTACTAGTACTAGTACTACTACTACTACGATCTACTACCAGCCTGCTGGCTACTGCTCATCTACTTCTAATTGCGAATTAGAGTGCGTACGTCAAGTTGCTCGTCTACTGCTACTGCTTCCTATCTGCGACTTCTGATTGCTCCAAAGCTCTAGCTGC